GGAACCGCAAGTGAATTCCCGCGCGTGCGCTTCAAACGGAAAGCAAACATCTGGCTCAGTCCCGCCAACCTGTAAGAAATTCTCTGGTGCTGTTGAAGGCACGAGCCCCCTCCCCAGCTCCGTTAATTATAAAGCCGCAGGGCCGGGTGATTACTCCGAGGGAGGGCCGACACTGCCAAGGCAGAGAATGCCCGGGGAGCCCCCAGCCCCAGATAGGATCATAGTATCATAGAATCACAGAACGGTTTGGGTTGGAAGGGACCTTACAGACCACCTAGTTCCAACCCCCCTGCCATGGGCAGGGACACCTTCCACTAGACCAGGTTGCTCCAAGCCTCATCCAGCCTGGCCTTGGACACTTCCAGGGATGGGGCATCCACAGCTTCTCTGGGCAACCTGTGCCAGTGCCTCCCCACCCTCTCCATGAAGAACTTCTTCCTGATATCTAATCTAACCCTCCCCACTTTCAATTTAACCTGTTACCCCTTGTCCTGTCCCTACAGGCCCTTGTAAAAAGTCCCCCCCAGCTTCCTTGTAGCCCCTTCAGGTACTGGAAGGCTGCAATGAGGTCTCCTCGGAGCCTCCTCTTCTCCAGGCAGGACAAAAGCACCTCCGAAGCCTGTACTTGCTGGGACATCTCCCCCCAGGACAAACAAGTCTTTTTCTCCTCCCCCTCACAAAACACGCACACTCTGCAGCGCAGCCGAGACCCCAGCACCAGGAGAACACCTCTGGGACTGACTCCTCGGTTATCTTGGCACTACTGGCTCTCCCCTTTCAGCCAGAGCTCTCCGTAGCACCCAACGGCGCGTGCGATCCCTACGCCTTCAAGAAGCACGACGACCTTGCGCGAGTTCCGATCGCTCGGGTTTGTGAACACCCCGTTTCTCAGCGAGGGTGAATTAGCAGAGCGGGTTTTTCCCTCTGGCCAGCGCACCCCTGCACCCCCATCTACCGACGAGCGGCTCCCTCGCCCACGGAACAGACGCCCGGCTGTCGCCACGCCGGCCGTGAGAACGGCACGCGCTAGAAAATGAGCAGCACGGTGAGAAGAGGGAACTGTTCAACTCCCCCCAGTGCCTTGCTCAGCCTCTGTCCTCTCCCCGTGTCCGCAACTCCGGAAGGGAGCCGCGCCGAGTCCAGGCCCAGCGTGCCTGCGAAGGGAGAGGGTGGGAAAGAGAGCGCGCCAACACCAGCACGGAGCAGCAGTCCGGCAGTTCTCCTGTTGCAAGGTTTACTCTTTAGATTGAGTTTTTACAGCCTCCTCCCGAATGCAGCTGCTCATTACTTGTGTGAGCAACCGATAAATACCGCAGGGTTGTAGCTGGTAATTAAACAAAGGGATCATCTTCGGATTCGCTCTCCACGTCTGCCAGCACGAACTGCCAAGTATCTCTAAAGGAAAGGGATATGGAAGCAAACACCACTAATGAGCCAAAATGTCTTTTAAACTCCTGAAAACACGGCGTGTGACGTAGCTTACTCAACAAATCTTCAGGAAATGTCGAATGGTTTCTAAGGCATCATGTAAAAACAGCACTGCTGCCGCCCGCGAAGGGGATAAGGAACCCCTAAGGGTTCTGGCACACCACGTGCTCAGCGGAGCTACAGGATCGTGCAGGAAGGGGAAACAAGTTTGTCCTATTTAACTGTTCCATTTTTGTCCAAATGTCCCATGAGCAACAAGCCCTTGCTTGAGGTCTGGAGAGTGAAGGCGGATGTTCCGAAACCGCTCACCTGTGGACGGCTCTAACTGGAACCAGGGCCAGTGCTGACTCTGCAAAACGCCGCTAAAACAGCCCATGACATCAGCAGCACAACGAGAAGCCAGAATGGATCTGAAGGTTTTACCCTTGTTCAAAGAACTCCAGCCGAAAGCCAACATAAAGACTTGTTGATCCAACTGGTTTTCCACTCTGGAATGACCGGCACAGTCCCGTTTCGTGGCCTGGCAAAGGGGCTGCAGAGAGGCATCACCTCTGCGCAACGCCTCTGCCTGGCCTGGTGGCTGGTTTTTGCAGGCGTGCGTTGCTTTTGAATTCCTGTTGCTTGACAGCCTTAAGCTGCTGTAGGACGAGGTTTAAGCCCAGCCAGCAGCTGAGCACCACGCAGCCGCTCGCTCACTCCCCCTGGGTGGGATGGGGGAGAATATTGGAAGAGTAAAAGGGACAAAACTGGTGGGTTGAGGTAGAGACAGTTTAAGGGGTAAAGCAGAAGCTGCACGCAAGCAAAGCAAACCAAGGAATTGACTCCCCACTTCCTGTGGGCAGGCAGGTGTTCAGCCATCCCCGGGAAAGCGGGGCTCCATCACATGTAACGGTGACTTGGGAACACAAACACCAGAACTCTGAATGTCGCCCCCTTCCCTCTTCCACCCCCAGCTTCATATGCTCAGCACAGCGCCATGTGGGATGGCATATCCCTTGGGTCAGTTGGGGTCAGCTGTCCTGGCTGTGTCCCCTCCCAACTCCTTGTGCACCCCCAGCACTCACTGGTGAGGGGGAGGGTGAGGAGCAGAAAAGGCCTTGGCTCCGTGTCAGCACTGCTCAGCCACAACTAAAACATCCCCGTGTTATCCACACCATTTCCAGCACAAATCCAACACTGCCCCACTCCAGCTATTGGGGAGAAAGTGAAGCCCACCCCAGCCCAAACCAGCACACAAGGTGACGCCGACGGCAGAGATGGGCAGGGGCTGTCTCTGTCCCTGGGTGTGCCTGTACAAAGGCTGTAGAGTGCCCCTGGCAAAAAGGCAAGTCTGTAGGAAACAGGTCTTACTCACTCACTGTCGTGGTTTCTTACTAACAACTTCCTTTCCTTGAGGAAGGACCAAATACATTCCTCAAAACAGGTCCCAGCTGTATTTTTATGCAGCAGTTCCATCTGGCTGGAGGTGTCCGAACTGCCCAGATTCAGAACAGGCTGGCACAGGCTCACACAGCAGCCAGAGTT